CCCCCCCCCCCCCCCCCCCCGGCTTTCCCGCCCTGCCCTGCGGCCCCAGCTGCAGAAGGAACTCGGAAGGAGATTGCTTTCCTGTGGCTGCTCAGCCACATCCCCACGGGGCTTTGCTCAAACTCTGATTTCCCCAACCCGAGTCAGGACTTCTCCAGTAGGTGCACCTTGAGCAATCAGACGAGGCTCCCTGGGGGAGAATCCGGAACTTTCTGTAACTCTGCCCCTGGCCATCCACCTCAGGCAACTCCCTCTCTTTCAATGTCCCCGAGAACTAGCAGACGTGCTGCTCTTACAAAAAGAGAAGGGCCTGCAAAGTCTCGCTCACTCGGCGTCCGTGACAGGCTGTCTCACAATCACGTCCATCCAGCTCGTCCCTCATCACGCGACGTCAGCAAATCAAGCCTTGGAGACTTACTCCCAAGCACATAGCTAGGAAGCGACAGCGCCCACAATCCAACCGCAGGACCACTGCTCTTGACCACGAGGCTGGCCCCCTACAGCTCCCTCTGGGGGTACACTTCTGGAAGTGGGGTTGCTGGGTCAGAGCTTCGCACATTACTAAGGCTGACGATGGGTGCTACCAAATCACCTTCCCCGAAGTCTGTTCTGTGGCCACACACACTCGGTGGTTTTAGATCTGCACCCTCCTTCCACGTGTAAGGTCGAAACCCCAACGAGCCCCCAAATTCAGAACTCTGACTCATCTGTTTCACTCCGGGTTAAGTGCGGGGCAGCGTGCAAGGAAGGGTCCCCACACCAGGGAACTGGGACCCACGAGGCCAGCTGTGCCCCTGCAGCCAGATCGTCCCACAAGCCCCAGCCTCTGACGAAGGCGTCTGGTTTGAGTCCTTTGCCTGACGACTGACCCAAACAGAGAAAGCCAGCCTCCTGCCTCAGGGTCCAGCTCCCATCAGACTCACACTGGGAAAGTCATTCATTTTTTTTAAGTATTTTTTTAAATGTTTATCTGTTTTTGAGAGAGAGAGAGAGAGAGAGAGAGAG